CTAAGTTTGGTTTTGTTGAAATTCAAGGTTGGTTTGTTGTCTCAGGTTTCATTTTTGGAGTCCGATTGTTGCCTAGTCGAGTCCGCCGTTCGTCGGTTTCCGGTTCAAATTTCAATCAATAGCTCGTCGGGTATTGTCCCATCAACTGACGAGGTTCATAATGCTATTTCTGCTCTTCAGCAGTGAGTTTTTGTGTATTCATTTTTCTTCCATATTACGCTTCTCTTATTTAATCAGAATTTTGTGTATTTCTTGAAATTAAATGGAATTTCTTCTATAACTACTTCAATGCTAGTATAATGAGACCATAAATAAGTTTCTTTTGTTTTCTACTGGTACAAAATGATCTGTCATATTTATTTGGTGTGCTTTAGTTGTAATCTATAGAAGGCAATAGTGGAAAAACCCTCCCGTGCAAAGAAAGATATTGTCAAATCTCTTTAGCTAAATGCTGGAGTTTACTAAAGTTGTGCTAATTCTCTTTAATTAAATTTTACAGTTCATCCACGATGGACTTCCATGATTCTTGGCCTACAATAATCTCAAAATTTAGGAAGAATGATGAACACCGTTAGAGTGCTTTAGGCGCATTTTGAATTTATTATTGTGATTATGTACACATTCGTGTTACATAGTTACGATTTTTAAAGTTAAAATCAAGGTATGCGTTTGCGCAACTTTGGACGAAATAATCACTACAGGAAAATAGGTCTTTAACGACCACTTTTTCACGAAAGGAAATTAATCCAGTCGTTATATGTGTACTTATTGCGGCCAATATTTATTCTGGTCGCTAAAGTTATTTTTTATTGTAATTTTTACGAGGGGATTATTTTCGGTCGTGCAAATTGTGTCAATCCCCTCGTTAAATCTGAATAAAAATGAAAAAATACGCGCTAATTTTTCCCTCCTTTATTTTCTCTAACCAACTATCCCACATAACCCCCAAATTATCAAAACAAACCCTACACAATCTCTCGCCTAATTGCTATCCCAAAACACGCACACAACGACTTCAGCAAAGAAGAGGGAAAGAATCACGAACAATTAGGGCTCTCGCTGCAACTGCCACTACTCAATCGGCGAAGAAGTTCCGAAATTAACACTATATAAAGAGCAGCGCAAAACGCAACAGATAATCACAAAAAAATTTGGGCTTCGTAGCTTATAATCTATCTTCTCTGGTGTATCTGTGTCAATGCTAGTAGGATTCCGTTCTCCTTCTCGTCAAGGTAAACTCAAGTTATAAATACCCTTTAATGTTGTTTTATGTTTTGGACTGATTTTCAACTTGTTTTCATTGAGTTTTCGGAAATGTTGGTGCCATTTTGGAGCTAGTTTTTCTGGGTTTTAATTTTCGTTTTTCTGCTGCATTTTGGGGTTGTTTTGGGATTATTTCGGAGCTAATGTTGAGCTGATTTTGTCCAGAAAAATAGCTGGTTTTGCGATGAGTTTATAAATCGATATGAAGAAAAAAGATGAAATTAGTTGTTGGGATTTTGAGAGAGGGTAACGATGGGCTTGGATGGTATTTGGATGATTTTCTGCTTTTTCGTCTCTTTTTGTTGGCTTCTTTTCCGATCTCCTCCATCTGTTCTCTCTCCGTCACTCTATCTATACTCCCCCTATTTTAGTCCGCCAAGTTATAATGGTGAATTTGTGTCGCTAAACTTGTAGTAATAACTATTGTGAATTTTTTTCTATATTTATAGTTACATTGACGCCCTTTATGGCGAGACTTCTTGTAGTACCTCTGCTTTGACTTACATTCTGCAAAAGACACTAAATTTATGCTTCTGATTGTAGTTTCAGTATCTCAAAATCTTTTAATAATGGGCTGACCTTAGCCAACCGTGTGAAAACTTTGATTGGCTAGTCTAGTTAACTGGTGGCAATGTGATTAGGGAAACATTTAAAAGGTTTTGCTAAAATAAGTAGCCATTCTATGCATTTTCTAGTATAAAGAATCAATAGTAGTTTATTTTTCCATATTTCCTTATATCATTCGGTATCTTGTTGAATTGGTTAAGTTGAATATGCTACTCCCCCGTCTCATTCTCGGAAATGATTAAAGAGTATAGAGATTGATGAACTACTTCGATTTACAATATAGTGTTAGAATAAAAATACCAAAGCGATTGCTCAAATTAGCCCGTAAAATTGGTTGATAGGAAAGCATTTATGTACAGGTGGTGGTTTGTGAAAGCCCTACAACTTCCTCAGAACTAACAGGGAGATTAACCCCCTTAGCACCATCTTCTGCTAGCGCATTATCCGCTGGAGAAGTCTCCTCAACTTTAACATAATCTGAACTTGAATTCTCTAATTTAGGTGCTGGATAGGACTCACCTAGCCGACCAGAAAACGAACATTTCATATCGTTTACGAGTTTAATTTCTTGTCTCCTCTTCTTGTAAAGGGAAATGGCTTTCTGCAATTGGGTCACATGGGATAAGGGAAAATTAGAAAGAAGAAATTTATGTATATAAAGACAAAGTTGATTCACTCTAAAACTGAGTAACCAGATTGGTAACTAACCCATGAAAAATCCTTTCATCTCACAAATAAAAATTAAACACAACTCCTATCCCCCATTCTTTTCTTTTTTAAACAACTTATAGACGGACTAATTTAGAACTTGTTAAATGTGTAGAATATCGTTATCTTACAAGTTTGTTCAAACCATTATATGATATGTTCCTTTGGAATTATGAAAACACAAATGTGTCATGTTTAATAGGAAGGAATGAGTAAAAATTAGAGGAATGCTTTCTAGTCTGTTCTCCTGATAAAGGTTTCTTTTTTAATATTTTGGTTGCGTCCCTGTAGCCCTTCTGTTGAAACACCGAAGAATGTGGAGGAGAAAGTTTTGAATATTATACGTATTATATGTTTCCGTATATTGTCCAAAAGGATTGTCTATTTGATCCACAGCTTGCAAAACATGCTGATTTTTAAAATTATATAGAGCTTGTGTATGTACTGATTGCGTTGGCTCATGTATTGTCTCTGTACTTTTCTGTGTCACTGCTCTTACATTTTTTTTGGATGTTTTCAATATTTTTCAAACTTTAACAAGAGCAACAGTAATAGTCACTTTCAACGAGTACAAAGATCTGAGTTCTTTAAGTCATTCAAATCTGATTTGAGTTGTTTTTCTTATCAAGTGCACTTAGTGCAGATTCGTAAGTAGTCTAATACAGTTTGTATATGCACTTTGTACATTGAACTATATTGTCGACAATAGTCATGGACATATCTACATGTTTAGCAACTTATATTCATGAAATGATTTAGTCATTGTGCCTTAGTGAATTGATAAAATGAAGTAAACACTCTATATTTCTCCTGCTTGTATCACCTTTCAATTATACCGTGTCTATATTTTTGATATTGTAGACTTGTAAATGGATCTGAATTAGGCATTTAAAAGACAATACGATGATTTATTATCGATTTTGCTTTAGTATACATTTGTACTACATACAAGTTGAAGTGTTTGCTTATTTGTTGGCTTATTGAATAAATGTCTACTTCTGGCTAATACATTATTTTAATCATATATATACATATATATTACACATGCAACAGATTATGGCACCTGATAAGAAATGGATGGAACTTATCCATGACCGACTTGGTAACGCTTACAAGCTTGGGGTGGACAATTTTTTGGATTTTTCTTTTACAAGATTAAGTGAAGCGCGTGTAATACGTTGTCCATGTATCAAATATTGGATTTTGCTTTTACCCCAATTATATTTTTAGCTTTTCTTTTCCTATCTTTCTGGAAAGGAAATTGTTTTTCTAATGTAGATGCATAAATGCTGGGATAACAATTAATTAAGTTCCTCTTCAGATAATGCCTGCATATATAGATTCTAGTGGTTGGTTTCCCTTCCAACTTATTTAGCTTCAAATAACCTGTAACAGAGGGTATTTAGTCAGCTTAAGAAAAGGAAACTTTAGACACTTCTATGTTTTAAAAAGAAACTTAAGAGACTTTTATATGTAACAACATACAGTAGCAGTACTTTACGTATTAAAAGGAAAATGGACTGCAACCATAGTGAGGTGAGGCGATGCGAGCAGCCTCCACTATTTTGGCTCTGTTGCGTTGCGATTGTAAAAGGCGAGTGCCTCTGCTTGTGTAGCGAGAGGCGAGCGCCTCTGCTATCCAAAACACTGTGCACACCCTACTGTTGGTTAATGCATATGCTAATTATTTGATGAAATAACTAAATAACTGCTTATTTGCTGTATGTTGGTTAAGCCTGAACTATTGTATGAGAAACATATGACTCAAAATCAATGAGTTGTATTCTATAAAAGAATCATGTTGATGTAAAAGCTACTGCCTCTGTGATTTTACTGCAGCGGCTTTAGATCTTTGAATGTGTACATGAATCTAAACCCTAAATCCACTAACTCAAAATCAATTTCCATTCTTCTCCTAACTCCTACAAAATCATGTTTTTTGGCCAGGTACCGTGAGATTTAACCTACAATACATATTTAGTTTATATTATTAATTCATGGCAAAGTGGTTGCATTACTAATTTGCCTTTTGATAATTTTCAAGTCCTTTCCTTTCTTGATTGATGATTTTGCAAAATATTGTAGGACAAATTTGACAGTGATGACATGAATCATCAAAGAGATCATGTCTTAAACCATATGAAAAAGTTATGGACCAATTGGAGAGGATCATTGCACAAGTATGTAAAGTTTAAGCCATTGCATGAAGATCTAAACGGTGTTCCGAAGGAGGTAGACAAGAGTGATTGGGAATGGTTGGTCAAAGAACATTTTTTAAGTGAAAATTTTAAGGTAAGACTTCATAACTACTTTTTAACTTCTTATTATTGTAAGTAACAATTCATGATTTCAATGGTTTGTTCTTAATGTAGGAAGCAAGTATTAGAAACTCGATCAATAGGTCTAAGTTGAGAATGCCTCATCGTACGGGTAGCAAGCCGANTATTTATGTATTTTGTTATTTCAAATTTTCTTGTATTTTATAGGCTGAAATACAAGAGCTGGTACAGTCTGAGCCATCTCTTACAAATATCGAGGTAATAGAAAGGTGTTTCGGACCTCAAAACAAGAGTCATGTGGTTGGATTAGGGGGTGGTATAACCACTAAGGAGTTGAAAGGCGGTAGCTCCTCAAAGGCTGCGATCCTGATTGAGCTAAATGCAACTCGAAAAGAAAAAGAATCACTACAAACCGAGCTGAATGCAACTAAAAAAGCAAAAGACTCTCTGGAAAAATGTATGGACGACTTTGAGTCTAAGTATGATCATCTTATAAGCTTATTGGTTGATCAACCTTCATCAACACCATCTACAAGTCAACAAAGTACAAGTTGAAGTATTTGACAGGTGCGTAAGCTTTCTACCAATTTTTACATGATGAATAGTTTAGTGAAATCTTTTTTTGTTAGTTAAATAAAGTACTGAACTAGAAAGAAGTGACATTCCTGACATTGACAAGAAAAAGTTTGTCTTTTCTCATCTGGTCCTTTACTATTTTTACTTGGGTTAAGTCCTTAAGTTTACGGTACTTAATTATTTTTTCATAAATGAGCTTTTGATTTCATCTAATGCTGCCATAAAAATATATGTTCCTGACAGTTTTGAGGTTGTATCTTTTCTAGTTCTGGCTTTAAAGTATTATGGTTACTGTCATTTATATATTCCCTTTGATATATATGTGATTAATGTAAATTATTGATATGTATTTGTATGGAATAGCATATTCAAGTATTTACTGTTGTTCTACTCTTTGTATGGTTACTGTCATTTCTAGTTCTTTTTGGTTAAGTGGTGCTAAGCAACTCAAACAATGGTTTCTTACTGCTAGTGAGGTGGAAAGTGTTCTACTCTTTTCTTTTTCTTTTGGAGTTGTTTCTTCTTTGACTGAGTTGACACATCTATTTCCCGCGGTCGTTCTCTTTTCAAACTGTAGGGTGAATTTTATCAAAGTTGGACCTGAAAATGGTTTCTGAATTGATAAATGCCAACCCTATTGTGTATGAGAAGAAGGAGCGCCGAGATAGGAGTGCTCCAAGTTTTGCGGATGAATATACAGTTGAACCTATCGACCAGCTAGAGATTTTTGATATCCTTGTGCTAATGATGGCCGAAATCGGATTTTGTTCTTAATTTGTTATGCTAGACTTGAAATTAATCTNATTGTACTCTTTTCTAAAAATCGTTTTTTTTATAACGTTTTTTTTTCAAACATCTGTGCGTTTAAACTTAAATCCCCTACTATTTGAGCCATACTTGTTTATTTGCTAATTGTACAAATTCACACAAAAAATGTCTGGCCGGGAACCACACTAGTGGATCCTGAGGGGTGCCTAACACCTTCCCCTTAGGATAATTTCAAGCCCTTACCCTATCTCTGGTTACCAAGCATAGTTATAAATGAACCCTATAGGTGCCCTAACGCACCTTAAATCATTAGGTGACGACTCTTCAAAATGCAAAACCCCTTCCCAAAAGGAAAGAGTTGTCCCATACCAAAATGTCATAAACCCGATTTCCGCGAGGAAAAAAGGGGGCGCGACAGCATGGCGACTCTGCTGGGGACTTTAGGCTTTTACCATTTCATACCGTTTTTGTGAATTTGTATCCCCTTATGTGCAATTATTTGTTTAATTCCTTTAGGCGTTTAATTTCTTTTTCAAAAGCAAAACTGACATATCTTTCTTGTTTCCTTCCTTTATAACTGCTTTAAATTATAAAACTGTTGTATTTATCGCTTTCTTAACGTGCAAATATATTTATTTCGAAACGGAAGAGGCACGAAAAACTATGTAACGTATTGGGAACATGCGCCATAATGACGCATGATGAAATGATGTCATTTCAAACTGACGTAACAGTTTGATGTGGCTCTGGAAGCACCACGTCATCACCTCTCCATAAAAGGGGTACTCCTCGGCCAATGTGCTCAGATTTTTCAAAATTGCAACTAGCGAAGTCCGCCCACCGAGCTCGTCCAAAAATAACCCCGACGGGCGGAGGGACTAATTGTATGGGTCAAAATCTAATCAAAGAGACCTCGCCTGAAATAAGGAAATCAAGAATCAATTAGGTCGAGGTCATGCTTAAGAAGCAACACTGGTGAGCCAAGCAGCGAATGTCGAGGTCGAGCACTCAGATCGGCCAAAACGGCTAGTTTAGAAATAAGATATTTCTAAAGAATATTAAGAGGAGTTTTCTCTGTATTTGTGCTTTCAGTAGGTAAGGGGAATATCCTATATAAGTTGGAATAGAGAGAGAAAGGAGGATCGTAATTTTCTATCTTGATAAGCTCTCTCTAGAGAAGTTGACTCTCACATAACTACAAACATTATCTTTATACAAGATTCGATTTGCTATGTTCTTCCAAGTTACCCGCATCGGATCCGATAAAGTATTTGATATTCCCATGTTTGGTTATCTTACATCATTGTCAGAGGGAGAATCATCCACCTCATTATTACATTTGGGTGAATTGTTCTCTTTATTTAAAGCTATTATCATTCATCATATTTATTGCTTGTCCTCATTCCCTCATTGATTCACAAGAATGTCATTAGATCTCCTTTGGCTTTTAATAGCTTTAAATGCGGTTTCTAGATTATTACTACCCATCAATCTTGGATCTAGGATTTATTATATTTAACTAGAATTTACTTATTATCATTTACTTAATTAGTTTAACAAAAAGATTTAACATCTTTTGGTCAAACAATTATTACTGTTGTATTTAGTATATTTCATTGGTTGTATTCACTATATTTCTATTTTTATTCAGTGTATTGTACTATTTTTTACTGTATTTTAAACTTAAATGTATTCACTGTTTATATTCTGTTCTATTTTAATGTTTGTATTCAGTGTATTTGAATGTTTATATCTTGTAGTCGTGCATATCGTATATGCATGAATACAGGTGTATTCAGCTGTATTAAAGAAATACAGACCTTCAAAATACATAAATACAGGCAAAAAAATATATCTAATACAAAAATACAATATGTTTGAGTGAAATTTGTATAGAATATAATGTATTTGTATCATTGTATGTGACTAAATAGCAAAGAAGAGAATATAGTTCGTCGGAGATGGCGTTTTTCGGCCAAGACTCCTTGTATCGCTTCACTACCTCTTCCATTACAATTTACAACGCTTCCAATTCGACCGCTTCTTCCTCTTTTCTCTCTTACTTACCGCGCTAAGAATACCTCTTTCTCTTTAATCTCNGTAGTCTTAGGATTAGCATGCACGATGTTCCCATCTTCGGTTCTTTTTGCACCAGCTTCATCCCTAAAACCTGGTAGTTTTCCAGCTAAGTCACCTAGTGTGCAGTAGGTCGATCATTGTTCTGGTTCCTTTCTCTTGCTCAGCTGGAAACACCTGCATGTTAGGCTGCTCCTGACCACAATATATTTGCTCAGCAGTAGCTCTATCACATGATGCATTCAAAGGAAGAGTAGCTCCTAAAGATGAAACTACAATAGCTGATTCTTTTCCATGTTTTTCAACATGTCCAGCCACTGCTAGCTACTGCTACATGATTCTTAGGAGGGAATAGTAATACTTTTTTATATGTGATATCATTTTCTCCCAATGTATTGGCTATTATAGTGTTGGCGAGCATCAGTAATATGTTTCATGATACTCTTAATGTTGGATTTAGTTGTAAGAAGCACTAATTATTCATAGTATTTTGAAATGTTCTTTGCTTTGTGGTTTTATATTTTACCGTGTGGTAGCGACTTAATTACCAATCTTAAATCTTGTTTTTTTACTCAACTAATATGAAGCTTTTTTAACAGATAAAGGGCCTGAAGTTTGAAGAATCATCCTTCAAGAGAGTTTCGAGCAAGTTGAAGCATGTGGAATTGTTGAAGATCAAGGGAAATCTATTTTGTTTCATTAGGAGTTGTAGTCATCCGTACAAACTATACTATTTCGCTTTCTCTTTAGTTTTCTGTTTTCTTTAAGGAATTGAAACAAAAGGATCATGCAATTTGGATGTAATATATTATTTGATGTTTTAGTTCTTTATAATTAAAAAAGATATTTTATGTCGATATTGACTTCATTCTTTGTATGATTTTGAATGTGTGTAATATATTTATTAATTTAAATTTCACATTATTAGCTAGGAAAATTTCGGGTTTTATGTCGTTGAAAGTACATACGAATAACGAATGGAATTCCGGTTGCCAAACACTAATAACGACTGAAAATTAGTTATTGCTAGTGAAGTGTTTAACGATCAGAATGACATTTAATGATGGGAAAATCCCCTCGCTAATGTTGGTATAACGACTGGATTTCTTTCCATCGTAAAAAGAGTTTTTACGATGGGATCAAAATCCGGTCGTTTACCTTTAACGACGGAGGCACTAACGACAGGCGACGACCGGTTTTTACCCCATCGTAATTGATTGATAACGACCGGATTTAGAGTTTTAACGACCGAATTTCCCATCGTTAAAGACCTATTTTCCTGTAGTGAATCTTAATAATAATAAAATATCATTAATTGTGTACACGTACGCGTGACATGATTCTTGACGCACTGAACAAAATGAGTACATGTACGCGTGACTCGTTTTAAGATAATTCCGTAATTATGAATAACCAAACAAAATGAAAACACGTACGCGTGATTCGTTTCAAATAAAAAGCGATAAAAGGTAAAACGCACATAGGTTCTACAATACATAATTAAGCAACTTAATTAAGCCAAGTATGATTAAAGCGACCGTGCTAAAATCACGGAACCCGGGAATGCCTAATACCTTCTCTCAGGTTAACAGAATTCCTTACCCGGTCTTCTGTGTTCACAGACCATAAATAAGAGTCAATTTCCTTGATTTGGGATTTAAAACAAACCGGTGACTTGGGACACCATAAATTATCCCAAGTTGTGCGAAGGCATACCATAAACCGGTGACTTGGGACACATTTTTGGATTGGGCTACACGCCGGAGCATATTATATCTATTATACTTTATGGGATCGGGTTGCAAGCTACAACGATACATTAATTATATATATGTATATGGATCGGACTGCACGCCGCAGCGATATATGGATTGGGCTGCACGCCGCAGCGATATTAGGTCGGGCTGCACGCCGCAGCGATATAGCGCTTGGGCTGAAGCAGCCCCTCCGGAGTCTGTACACCCCCAGTGAGCGCATTCGAATGTATATATATATATGGATCGGGCTACACGTTGCAGCGGTTATTACACATTGCTAAGTGATTTAGTGTGTTGAGTATTGAGCTTAGTAGGAGATGATGCGAGGCAATGAGATTGGCTATTGTGAGAGTGTGAGTACATGTATCATCTCTTAAATACATGGCATTTACATGCATACATGACATACAGGCATAGAGATGCATTTTCCTCATGTTAGGTAGTATCACGTCATTCATTACTTATTATACACATTGATATGTGGGTATGGAGAGGCACTTTATAGTTGTTATTTGGAAAGAAAATGAGATTTCATTTATTGTGGAAAGGATATTTTGACAAAATACAGTTTTCAAACTTACTCGTACTTTAGGCATTTTCGGTAAGAGATCTGGGATTTTCTTTCACTAAGATATTTGAAAAGCATGACCATTTTCTGGAATTCTGAACGAGCTGAGTATTTTATTTTTAGATATCTTTTTATTACTTGTATTATGTTGTTATGAATTGTTGGGGAAATATTGGCATTGGACCCGATCCTGTGCTAGCTCGTCACTGCTTTTAACCTAAGGTTAGGTCTGTTACTTACTCAGTACATGGGGTCGGTTGTACTGATACTACACTTCTGCACATTGTGTACAGATGTCTATTGTTGTTGTTGTTGTGCTCGATGGTTGTGGGACTTGAAGATGTACCGGCGTCCCTGTTGTAGCTGCCTCCTTTCTTCGGGGTAGCCTTAGCTTATAAAACTCTATTTATGTACTTTTCAAATAGACTGTGTATTTGTTTCATTGTTGCTTTGTAAACTCCATTCATAGAAGCTCATGATTTGTACTACCAGTCCTTGGAAAATGTATAAAATTCCATAAATTACTTTCATTTAATTGTCTTGTTAATATAATTGAAATTGGATAACTAATAGTTGGCTTACATAGCGGGTGGGGTTAGGTGCCATCACGAGCACTGGATTTTGGGTCGTGACAGTTGGTATCAGAGTCCTAGGTTTATAGGTTCTACAAGTCATGAGCAAGTGTCTAGTAGAGTCTTGCGGATCGGTATGATGACGTCCATATCTATCTTCGAGAGGCTACATGACATTTAGGATATACTTCCCATCTTTCTTTCCTTATCGTGCGATGTTGATTCAGCTTGAAGCGTAACTCTTTGAATTCCTTCCACGCATTCGTATGCGCATATGAGCGCTCGGTATCAGCTGTACATCGACGGCTTGTCATGGAAGAGGTGCGAGATATAATTTCGGTATACTGATGATGGGCCAGTCTGGAGGACTTGAGGCCGGGTTTTGATTGTGGTTTGAGCACAGAGGTGTTGATTGTGTGAACACATATTTTTGGATTTATATGTCCGGTAGTGTCCCTATTCGTAGAATTTATGGCTAGATGGCTACATGATGAGTATGATGTGACTGCGAGATGTGTTTATATGGTTGAATGTGACGAGAAGGGTCTGCTTGGAGTGTAGAAAGAACTATTTGGTGCTTGATTTCCATCTTGATTTAATATATAGTCTCGAGTTATAGGTGTGTTGAAGGGTCTTTTCATGTTGATTAGTTGAGGAGTGAAGTAGATTTCATGTTGTGATATGAGTTTAAACTCAGGAAGATTAAGTGATTGCGTAATGGTTATGACCGTGGATGGGTATAGAGAGAGGTCGGTTTGAGGCAAAGCAGGTGGCCTATCTCCTGCGGGGTATCCTAAGGTTTGTGTGATCCTTATGATTGTTTGTTGGGAGTTCTCTTTTACCAGTGAAATATGTGTTGCAATTTGAGTTTGGATCGCTTATGAGAGTAGGCTTGACTGTTACGAGGATGAATACGAGATTTGCAAATGATTTGAGGTATTATATGGTTTGTGTTGCATGAACTTATGGAGGATTTAGTTGAATCTCACTGCGATATTATGGTTGTAATAAAGTATGGGCATTGGGAGTTATGGTGTGTTTTGATCTATGTCTTTGAGCCAAGTGGGGGAGTCCGCTATTGACGAGTTAATTTCACGGTTATGTGTTGTATTAGTTTCAGTTTGAGGTATACTTGTGAATGAGTTATGTTCTGCAGAGGGTGAGATCGAGGATTACTTGAGTAAAGGGTTTTCTGGGTAAACTTTATGAGTATATGAGAATCACGGAACGATTTGAGTTGTTATTGATGAAGGATGTAATGTGTATGGAGCAGGAATATATTTGGTTGCTTAAGGTGGAGCTATTTTCTAGGGTGTTGGAGTGCTAATGGGGGCACCGGTCGTTCGGTCCGTTTGTTCAGTTTAATTGAGATTTGAGCATAGTGGAAGACTCTCGAGAATGGTTCAAATGAATTCATGATTTAAGCGTGGCAATTGGGAATCTTCAAGATGTGTATTTGGCTAGAAACTGAGATTCACTTTGGAGGATATCAGGACTTGTTCCATTTCTATATCATTATGAATTCTACATATCAGTATCAGGAAGGCGAAGGTAATGGCTTTAGATTCGTAGAAGGTCTCTTCAGAGTAGGTATCTCGGTTGAGGTAATTTTGGGGTGATTAAGAGAGCATTTAGCGGCTTATGAGCCTTATGGCGGTGTGATTTATGCTAGGGTCTCGTGTGGTGAGTCTTGGTTGAGGATTGTGGTATTATGGCAAGAAGAAGTATCAATTTGAAGGTAACTCAGAAGGAACTAGGATAAATAGGACAGCTTAGTAGTAGGTTTGATTGGCATGGTAATGGATGCGATTGGCTCTTTTGGTCCTTATTGAGTTTCTATAGGTGTTTTGTGGCGGTACTCTTGGGTTTTGGTGGACTGCATGGCTTGGTTGAGTTAGAGAGATTCAGTTCTGATGGTTTGGTTATGTGCAAATGGGTTTCGGAGAGTTCGCGATGGTTTCTACCACGGTTTGAGATGTATATTTTCTACTGGTGTGAGGAGCATGTGATGTATAGTGATTTTCTCCGAATGAAATCAAATGGAAAGTTCTTGGCTAATTGAGTAAGTAGTTGCTAGTGACTCGGAGTGGATTACGAAGTTCTCGTATTTTACGTATAATGGCATAGTATATGCAGTGTGTTGTGTAGGATTGAGATTTGCATGTGTAAGATCACGGTACAGTTTTGAAGGGGAGGTCTTGAGTCCTTAGGCAACATGGACAATTTCAGATGACTAGGTAAATAACATTACTATTTGGTATGGCTTTATGAGAGTATACATTTCAGAAGGGGGGATGTGTTTTGATTTATGATACTTCACTAGTATTGCGGCACTCCACTAGTTGATCAACTGTTGGTGTTCAAATTTTGCTTTGTGGCACAGAAGAATTATAGAAGTATTCTTCGCGGGATGATCGTGTATGAGAGATGTGTTAGACATTCAGGCGGTGGAGTTGGGATCAGATATGGTGATTCATGTGTTCTATGGATTTGGAGACTGGGAGCTCTCAGGAGCAGATTGTTGCATGGTTGTGGACTATGAAGTGTGGCTGAAGCTAGCCAGGTGATAGTATGTGTTATGATTCAGTCATTATGGACTTTCGGAGGATTATTTATCTATTTGTGGGTGACCAGAGTTGATATGGGAGTCCATTTGTAGGCCCAATTAAGATGTGTATTCTACACCGAGTCGGATTGGTTGGCTCCATACTGCTATTGTTGAGGGATGTGCCATTTGGTTGTTGTTAAGCTTATTCGTGTTTTTAAATGATCTATAAGTTACTCTTTTATGCCACGAGGAGTTGTGATTCGTTGGTTACATGCACATATGGTGCAGTTCTATTTGAGTTTTATAGCGGAATTTGAGCGAGATGAGTATTTGGGTATTGCATGACTGATTGCGTGTTAGTTATGTTATTTCCTGATTGTGGTATTGTGTTATTTGCTCTTCGTGGTTATGGTA